TATAATTTAAAAATGTGACAGGAAAACCCAAACAAAAACGAATATAAATAGTATGTTCCAACCTGGTCCCTGGATTCCATCTAAATATTTTTCTAGGGGCTCCTGGCCTAGGAATCTTTTTTCCTGGAACGGCATTAGGATCATTCGCAGCTTCCCCTTGCCTAAACGGACAAAACGTTAAAATGACCAAAAGATAAAAAAAAGAAAGATATGTACAATGGAATATAATTCCGTTTACTCTGTTATCCACAATTTAAGGCGATCCTGATGCAAGAGCATGTCGCGGGAGTATGCTTCAAGTAATGGTGAGACTGCTTCTTCCACAGCTGAAAAAGTTAAGATTGTTTTAAACACGCACCCGACGTGAGACATGAGTATAGCAAACATCAAAATAACTACCAGATTTAAGGGCAACCAGAAGAGGTGCCATTTTACTTTCATCAGAGGATTCCTTGAGCTTACGTAAGCGTCTAAACAAATATTTCTGCTTAAAATGAAGCATTGCAGTCAGGTGCCGGTAAATTGCCGAGCGCGTTAACTTTGTAAGGCTATTTTGAACTATGTATTCTTCAAGTCTACAAAAAGAATACACTAAGCTAGCCAGAGAACCGGATAAAGTAATATAAAATAGAAAGCTTACTTGAGTATTCGCACATCAAATTCCTTCCCATAAATGCGCCTAGTCACCCCGCCATGTTGGTAATTCTACTATCTAATATTGGAAAATAAACCAACCTTAATCAAATCTTTTACAGAAGTGAGTACAATGTCTGGCAGTCGGACAGGCAAAGGGGCGTCCTCAGGGTCAATGAATTCAGCTGATTTGGATTTAGGAGTGTCAGATGTGGAAATATCTGAAATAGTCTCTTTCGATCGATTGACAGACGCACTCGATTCTGCTGCATCATCATCTATCAAAATAGTCATCTCGCTGCCTGTGGATGCAGAATCAATGCAGCGACGTTTTGACTCATCAGGAGCCTTCTTGGCAGACGACAAACATTTAACGGCTTTCTCAATCAATTGCCTGGATATAAACAAAAATAAGCTTACTTGGATTTATCTCTTTTAAGATGTTGCTTCGGAATGCTAGATTCAGTCTACGTAAGGATTAACATTAGTAAACCATCAATACCAGTTTGATTTTTTTTCCAGAAGGGGGTTCAATGATAGCCTCATTATCTTCAAGTCCTTCTAGAGGACCTTCATGGACATAAAAGCCCCCTATTCTGGTTGTAACATTCGGGGCAACGTATATGTCAGCCTGGAGAGGAGTTGAGAAGAAAAACAGTTACTGCGTCCGAATCATCAATGAACGAATCCTGTGAATCATATCCATCGCCAGGATCGACAAAGTCGTCAATTCTAACTCGATTCTTGTTCCCCTTTTTATTAACAGTGATAATAGTCCCCTAAAAATTAACATCAAAGTGACATACATATTTCTTTTCAAACGACTTTGCTATGTCTTCTAACTTATGTTGCTCATGTTGATCGATGTCGTGGAGAGAATCTCTTGGCAAAGAAGGTCTATTACTTCTCTAAAATTAAAGATAAAAGTAATTATAAAGAGTGAAATCGTCGGAGTATGACGGGGTAGCGCACGGGCGCGCGGGGCGTGGGCCACCTGGCAGGGCAGCGGCAAATTATGGCGGCCATATTTGAAAAGCGAAAATGGGTAATACTCAACTAGCACATGAAAAATCTATCTAATTTTCTAGCAAACACATAAAATTTTCTCTTAGATCAAAAAAAAGGACAGAAAACAGCGGAAATGGATGGAGTTTCTGCACTAAGCAGGCCATCCTATAACCCACCAGATGCTGCTGAATTAGCTCAAGGTAAGA